CAGATATTATAAATTCTTTTATCATTATTAAGAGCAGCGTTGGCCTAGTAGCTGCAGCGTGCGACTTTCATCCCTGAGGTCGTAGGTTCCAACCATGGCTTTGCACGATATGCAAAAAAGGAAAACGTGAGGAAAGCGGCTTGCCTTAGACCCAATCGACGGCGTGTGTCAAGCATAGTAGGCTGATCACCTACTTGCCTATTAGATTGACAAATTATCATGAAATAGATACAGAAATCTGAGGCCCAGACCTAAAAAGGTCGCGCCACTGTTGTTTAGAAGTTTTCGGAATATCTAAATCAATTTTACTTACTAATAATAAAAAATAGTAACGAAAACATAATTTAGATCTGTCGTGAGATGACCTGCAAGTGTGGTAGTACAGAGCTGTGCTGGCGTCCACGTCAAGCTGATTACAACGCGGCTCGTGCTAAAAACTTCACCCACCAAATGCCTCTTAAAAGTCTGGCTTGTTCCTCTCGTACAGTGCCTAGGAGTGTCCAAATTGAACAGCAGTTGAGGCAAAGGGCTACTGATCCGTGTACTTAATAATCAGAACTTACCTTGGAATAACTTAATTTGGTAATATAATTCAGTGTTACAGATGCTGGACTTTCAAATCGCTGATTTATCGTTATAATCTCAGCAACTTTTATTAAAATAGTTTAAATCGTGTTATAACCTAAAATCATATTAGAATTTTAGACGCCGAGACAAAGCATACGCCCTTAAATTTGTAAAACGTTTTTTTATTGTCTCTAGGTGATAGTTTCTTGTAAAATTTTCAAAATTATTATTGACTAAATAATCGTGTTACAGTCTGTGTGTTTAATCAATGTTGTATTTTTAATGTATATGATACCATGAAATAATATACAAAGAACTCTGATATACTTTATTTGACAATTAAAATTTAACAATTAAAAACGCTTTTTATTTTGTTATGTACGCTGCTAAGTTTTTCTTTCAGGGTAGATAGAAAATTCACTTCGCAATCGTTCTGCAAAAATATGTTTCATATCAGAGGTAAGAAAGACAACACTTTAAATTAATGATGCAATCATTATTACATGAAACAAAACTAGCAGTTAAAAACCACTATTATAGAAAACGAATTAGAATAGTAAAAATAAATAATTTTCAATAAAAGTAAACTTAATTAATGTTATCGTAAGAAATCTTCTTACTCCAAATGAGGTGGTTTCACAATAATTTTTAAAATACCGCGTACCTTCTGCGGTATCCCATCTGTCTCGTCGTGTTCTGTTAGTTCCTTTGATTTTTCACGTTTAATGTTTATTTTTGATCGGCTATTTAAGTTTTTCTAGAAAATAAAATTAAAATTTTAGCTAAGAATAAAGTTAACTTTTATTATAAAAAACTACATCGTATTGCACTCTTAACTAAAGTCCTCGACTGTGTCTAATTGTGTATACACTGTCATGAAAACCCTAAAAGTATTTTAAGTTAAATCGGTGCAATTATATACGCATAAATGAACAACAAAAACTAATTGCTTTTGATTCCTCATAATTCTACTAGATGGCGTTATTTCAGATGGAATGACCCAAACAACATTGTATAAGTCGAATAATAATTGAGTATCGAATATAACATATATTTATATAGTAACATACGATATTGTGTTATGGTAGGAGCCCACATCTAAATATTTACTCGAGCTTAAGACCTATTGGGATACAAAGCTTAGATAAAAAGAAGAAAAAATGTTATATGATAAATTCCTTTTCATCGGTGGGGAAGCGGCTATAGATAGTTAAATATGTAAAAAAAACTGTTCATGGACATCCTCGACGCGTCAGATATTGATAGCATCTTGCCCTACGTATTTTTAATAATGTACGTATGTTAATCTGATCGTTTGCATGATGCGGGTGGTTGTATTTAAGGGTTGAAAATTAAAAAAAAAATATTTATCGAGCCGTAGATTTTCTAAGGGAGTGTTAAGTCACCAAAAAAATCTCTCTTCACTAATCTGACATTTCGATGGGACGCAAACCCCACCATTTTCTTAATTTGCAAAAAAATCCAATTTTGAAATACTCAAGCGCGTCAGATTAAGATATATGTGGTTCATCTTTATGTTCTAAACGTACTGTCTCATAATCTACGATTATCTAGAGGGATTCGCCTATCTACAAAAAAAAATAGAAAAACGGTTCACCTACCATCCCTCAACTTCCCCTAATTCCATTCCTGGGCGCTTAAAATTGATATTTTGAGCTCGCTAGTTCAAAAAATAACATTTCTATGCATTTGAGCTCTCCCACTCGAAAGTCTATAGAAGTTTCATAAACACTATTTTTGAATTTTCAAACCCAATAACTTTTGAATGGATCAAGCAATTTTCACGCGGTTGGCGGCATTCGACGCAGTTTTATCATTCTCATAAGTAATTTTCAATTTTAATTGATCGAACCACAAATTTCGGAGTAATCCCGAAAAACACTTTTTCGGGTTTCTTTCATGTACATATCTCTCAACAATCAACCCTTTTGACCAGCTTGGTGGCGATCGACGTGGTTTTTCAAGCTGAAAGCGGATTAGTTTTTGAAGTTGATGATAAAGAAACCACTTAAAAAAAATATTTCTTATTTTTTTAAGATTTTTCAAAATTTCTCAAAATCTATCGGTAATCGGTTCAAATTCACAAAATGTAATTTTGAGGGAAATATTTTGAACCTTTAGTAGATTCCGATCGGTTTAAGGAAATGTAGGCATCACCACTACCATTTAACTTTATCGACAATTTTTGTTATTTCGGCTTGCGGAAATCGTCAATTATATATTTTTCATTATTCTGGAATTATTTCCTTCAAAATAAAAGAAAAATTACTACGCTCGAGAATGTCGAGATGACGTTTTTTTTTACAACTTTGTTGCCCTCCCCTTTTTTCCGTCACTCTCAAATTGTCAGATTAGTGGAATATACACTTTTTAGGATGTAATTAACTCACCCTACCTAAATCTGACGCGCTCGGGAATTTCTGATGGTCAATTTTTTTTTACTAATCTGATCCTGTCTCCTTCACCGCGGCCTCATATATGGGCCTCATATTTTGTGGAGTACTTAACCGGGTACAAGGTATCCCCCTTTAGTAATCTGCCGCGCTTTAGTAAATCCCAAATCCCCTCTTCTCCCCTACCATTACATGCGATTCTTTGATACTATCGAGTGGTAGTGGCTTCAGCGTGCGATTTCCATGTTCGGAATGAGTTGGATCCTTGGTAGTGCACCATTAGAATTTGCTGTACACATTTAACACCCGCTCGTACGGTGAAAGAAATATTGTGAGGAAACTAGGCATGCCTTAGACCCATAAAGAAGACGGCATTTGTCAGGCACAGAAGGCTGATCTCCTACTTGCTAAAAACAAAATGATCACGGGTTGTAGCGCCACTAGTTTCTTTTTCGATAATATATAATTTTATATGTATGTTTTTGTATAAGGTAACGAAGTGTAAATAGTAAATAAATTTTATATGCTTTTATTATTTAAAATGATTTTACCCGTGACATGTTTATATTGATACCAGACGATCGCACGGTACTCATCGACTTCTGAAAGAAAATATTTCCGTTTCAAATTACATATTTATGGGAAATTTTCTATTCTACTAAAAGTTAAACAATTTCTCCAAACCTAACGTTAACGTTCCGTTTTTATTATAAAGTGGTTTAAAAGAATAAGTAGTTTATTCGTAAAAAAATCACGCTTTTAAAATTTGTTAAACGTCAAACCAAACCAGATTGTTTTTTAATTTTTTAAAAGAAAATAATATTACATTTAAGAAAATTTACGAGTTATAATCGGGATAATTGAAAAAAAAGTCTATATTCTTTCCGAAGTACAGAAATTTTGTAATATTTAGATTTAAAATCAATTTTTATTTAATGTATAAAATAGTTTGTACCCTTGGAATGTGAATGGCGATTCCAGTAGGCCCTTCAAACGGCATCCCAGGTCTAAAACAGGGTCCAACAGAGGCTCTACGTTCCAATATCCAGGCTTGACTCTTCGCGTCTATCTCCTGAAATAGTTTATAATGATAATCGTGTATATATTTATTGCCAACAATGTATTAAAAACATACCGGAATCATTTCTTTTTCTTGCCAAGTTAGTTCCTTATTCTTATGTGATGTGTCCTGTAATTGCCGATATAAACAGGAATGTATTAAAATATTAACCACGCAGCCATTACTATCTTGATTGGTGAGTCAAGCTTGAGTCAAGTATGAGCTTAAGGGACCGCGATCTTATTTTTCTCATAGAGGTTTCTCGCATAAAGCTACAGGCATAACGTTGACATAATAAGTAGGTACAGGAACTTTCTGCGCAATGGGTCATCGGGGTACTTTAAATAATAGAGGATTTTATTTTTACTCTATATGACTCGCGTACAACAATAGAATATAAGCGAAATAATGAAATTTTTATTGCTATATAACGAATGAATGCAATGTAACAGTTGAAGAGAGTGCCTGCGTCTGGCTATACTCTTGAGGCGTAACTCCGACGATTTAGAAAATCGCCAAGCTTATAAAGCCTTAAGCTAAGAAAGCCTAAGTGACCAAAATGTAGCCTTGGTTCGTGTACATATGGTAACAGTCTAAATACAGACTATACTAAAAATAATACTCTTTTTCAACTGTTTTATCTCTGAACAAATATATTATTAAATTAAAATAATGAACATAATGTCATCTATATCATTAGGGATATATAAACGTTTTTACAAAGTTGCAGGATAATAAAATGCCACTTTTATTATTAATTTTATGTACACACCAACTAAGTACAACGCAAGTTCACAATTCCAGTATTTCTAGCTGGCCATTTTCAATTACTCTTAACATCCTTGTAACAAAAAGCGACAGATAATTATTCGATGCGGCGATAGCAATCGAAAATGGCCAGCCAAAATAACATTAAAGCACGCGAAAGCATCGCAGACGTTGTGTTATTGAGTAAAGCTTTATATTCCTTGACCAAAAGCTCGTCCCGATGAGATGTTTTCTTCGGACGGAGCTTCGTAAGGCACGCCGCAACAGAAAAACTGTCGGACGACGCGGGAAACGCGCGATGCCCGCGATTCACTGCGCGGCAGCCCGCCCGCCTCTTCGTCATCTGACTATAAGAAACATTTCAGTCAATATAAATATTTGTAAAATATTCAAACTTCTCAGTTAGCGATCTTTTCACTTTTTATAAAACTTCGCAAGCGCGGGCTGCCACGCAGTTTAAAAAAAGGGTGCTTGCACTTATGTACGCGCGTAAGAAGTTATACTTCTTTGGCAGTATTAAAAATAGTTTTTGATTGCATGCAAATAATTGATTATAATTAAATAATCAAAGACTGGAAAAGGAGTCATTATAGTCAATAAAGTTCAGTTTACATTTGAAAAATTAAATAAATAAATATTTATTATTATTCTCTTACATTAAGTGTAACATAAATTCTATTATTATTCGAATGTTGTTTTTAAATTATGTCCAATGCCGTAGCATCTTCCGTGGGCAACTTCATTCTGTTAATTTTGTGTCACGGTGCGCGCGCATCGTAAAATTTCACTCTCATCAATTTTTCATAACGCGCCTATGTATTACTAACTTCAAAAGTATGTAACATACCCAATTTGAATATCTCTTTGATGGTTTAACAATCCGTGCTTCGGAGATTTCATCCGTAATACTGTCCGTATCGCCTGTTTGAGTATTTTCCTTTTCGACAAAATTAGCTCCCGAAAGAGCTTCGGCAACTTGTGGAATTGGCTGCGATGTGGGCGTCATTGAACCCTTCTGAAAATAAAAGTGAAATACTTAAAAGAAAAATTTTAACAATACAATGTTATCATTGATATGAAAAAATACAATTTTACATTTTCGTGTTTTTATTGTTTTATTTTTAGTTGTGTTACTCAAACTTTTATGAAATAAATCTTATTTATGAAACAATTTAAGGACACTTCTATAATTATAACTTGTATATTTTTACATATCTTGTATTTGTGATGTGTCTGTCATGGATTCTGAGATAGTCTAACTATCCAGATACAAACTCGCAAATCACATAAAAATTACGCAAGCCAAATTGGATTTCGATTCTATAAAGGCCTTACTATGTATCTTGGCATGACTTTCGAGGTTCTAGAAACTAACACTGACACAGCGCACGATAATAACAACTCTCAGCTACCCTTTCAAATACATGCGCATACTCACTCACATATTTACTCATACTTAATGTCTTATAAGACATAGTTGTAACACTAATATTAGTTCGGTAAATATTCCGTATCGCGGCACCAGCGATTTTGAGACTGTTTTTTTTTGTACAGTCGCGTTATGATCTGTAAACATCATAACTAGTATTATATACTAACCTAACCTCACCCAACAATATTAATAATAGGCTTTTGGACAGATCGAGAAATGCCCCTCCGCCCTTGCGTACCAAAGCACAGGCAATTTATTCAAGCCTCTGCACTTCGGTTTTTTGTTACAGCTTTTGTTGTGCTCTGTTACAGCGGGTGGGGCTGCTCTTCCTCCCCCTCCATTTTTTATATACACTTAGGGGTAAGAACAGACTTGATAGTGGGTCTTATTCTTTTGGGTACTTTTGTTTTTTTTGGCAAAAAGGTATCCCATCATAACAACACTTAATGGTGCTGAAAACTCATGACGGAGTCATAAAAAAAAAATCAGCCTTAAAATCGCTGGTGCTGCGATACGAAATATTTACCATTACTTCTTTTTTTAACCGTTTTAATCTTGTGGTACATGGACCACGGAATAATTGTTATCTAGTTACCCAAAACAAAGGGATTCCCTAGTGTGGGTACTAGCGATATATTAATTTTCCCACAACCCTTACGTCATAAATAAAGTTTTTATTATTATTGTTATGTTTCCTTATTGATTAATAAATAATAGCATAATGGCTTTGTATATATTCGTTGTAGAATGCTTTATACCATTTAATCAATACCTACCTAAAATTTTAAATCTGGATATATGGAATTTAATTAGGCTATTTATCGCGAATGCCTATCAAACATTAATTTATATTTTATAGCACTTGCATGACAATGAAACAGCAGTATTCATACCTTTGTCTCAAGTTCGACGTGGCCCAAAGCTGTGGAATCGGCCGGCGAGCCTTGCTTCTTGGAAATGAAAGATAATTTTTTGGCGGCACTCTGCTTACTCATCTCATTAGATTTAACTGTAAACATAATATAAATAAATCAATCAATGGCGCTTCAACCTTTTTAGATCTGGGCCTCAGATTTCTGTATCTGTTTCATCATCATTTGTGAATCTAATAGGCAAGTAGGTGATCTCCTGTGCCTGTCACACGCCGTCGACTTTCTGAGTCTAAGCCAAGCCGGTTTCCTCACGATGTTTTCCTTCACCGTTTGAGCGAATTTAAATGCGAAAGAAAGAAAGTCCATTGGTGCACAGCCGGGGATTGAACCTACGACCACCTCAGAGATGAGAGTCGCACGCTGAAGCCACTAGGCCAAAACTGCTCACGATTTAAACAACCAACCAAAAACCCAGTGGCACAACGTTTTAGGTCTAAAGGTCTATTTGTTTCTTGATTATTTTTTCGGATAGCCTACTGTCTCTGACACGGTTTTGATACCACGATGTTTTCCTTCCGTATGACCACCAAACGTGAAATGCGAACATAGAAAGTCCATTGATACACAGCCCGGGTTTAAAACTACGAACTCAGGAGAGAGAGTGGAACACTGAAGCCGCTAGGCCTAGATATATACTAAACTTAACCAACAGATAAACCTATTTATTATTAACTCACACGGATACATGTTGCGTGGATTGTACTTGCTAAATACACTTTAGTATTAACACTAATAAGGAATGTTAATAAAAATTATGTGCTGGTGAATTTATAGTGATGTTTACAATTTTATTTACCCCGTTTGCGATCCTTATCGTCCTCATTTTCTGACTCCAAATCCTCTGCTGTTTTATGTTTAATATCCTCACCAACAGCTGTAATGTTTTTATATACAGTAGTGAATTAACAAAATGAGAGTCTTGCAAACCTATACCTACTGATAAACGACTGAACTGATTTAATAAATTTTTTCACCATAATAGATTATTTTTCTTTATGTGTGATAGCCTATTTTATTTCCAAATTATTTAAACAAATATGCAGTCGTGTGAAAGCAGTCCGGTAGTTGTCTTTAACCGATGCCAAAGGATGTCAAATTAATGAAGTCAGTAAACTCTATTTACAGTATGCAGCGAATGTGATTATAATAGATTGATTACATTGTACAGCTGGTGCTTTGGAATGCTTATGATGATGGTCAGTTTCATCTTGAATATCATTAGGCCGACATGGAGCCTTGTGTCTGCTGTTGGTAGTTTGTTCTACCACCACGGGGGTGGTACCCGTACCACTCTTTTTATCTTGATCAGACATTTTCTAAAGCAATTCAAGCATCCATACGTCCTAATCTACAAT